GTGGCAAACAAGTGAGCAGGCACTGACTAACTAAGCAGGGTAGATGTTAACCCTGGAGCAGGGCCAATGGTCCTAATCCCAAAGCAGAAATTAAGATGAATTTTTTGACTGGCTTTGTCTCATATACTGGAGGGTGCTATACAGGCAGCTGAGGGAAAAAGTCATCTACTACCAGTGAACTTTATAAACTACAATAATCATCATCATAGTGAGATATGCCTATGGGTGCAATAGAGGCATGAATGTGAGGGGTAAACAACTGCTATCTAATTAGATTTAAGGCTTGTTCCACTGAGGAAAATGTATGTCTGGTACTGCAAATCTGACCCATGGTTCAGGACCTCACCGATCCCATAGGAGAACACATCCGTAGATAGCCAGGAATTTAGTCCCTGGAGAAAACTAATTTGCACTCCTTCAGCATCCATTTATTGCCTGTAGTTCTTCATCTACATGTGGGACCTCATGAAATTTTCTTCATCCACATTGGCATATCAATTGGTTTGTCATTATGTGGGTCTTGTTAGGGTACCATTATGTGGAAAGTTCATGAGTGCAGCCTCTCTATCACATTATCTATAATGTATTATCTAGCAGCAGGTATATTATTCCTCTGTCTCTTTCCTTCTTTCCATTCATTGTCCTGTGATTTTCCCTGAGCCTTGAGTGTAGAATTGCATTGTAGATATGCCACATAGTGCCAGGTAGCTCTCATCACTTATTCTCTGCATTTGATCAGTTGTGGGATTTTGTAATGATCTCCCTGTCTTATTTCATGAATATGCAGTATTTAGTATCAAAGAAATCCCCAAGATATGTCCAAGATAATTATTTTCACGGTTCTCGTTTTGTTCAGAATATAATTTCACCCATGAGAAAACATCAGGTGGAATATAGGTCAGGATGATGGAAAGCAATTCAAAGATACCATCTCTACAATGCATGAACATCTTCACAAGCACACATCGGAAGGGATGAAAATCTGATCTAAGAGGAAAAAAAAAAAAACATGAGTTTGGTAAGACATAGCTCTTTGATTCTTTTCTGTGAGATAATTCTTAAAATTTTCTAGGTATATGTTTTACCAATGCTGACTATGTGTTAAGTTGAAATACCTTCTTTTTCTTTTAACATATGTAGCAGTAAATTAATGGGTTTACTCCATCTCTCCTTTGTGTTTTGACATCAGTGTACACAAACAAAAAGCACAGCCTCAGAAGTGTGCTCCTGATTGTATCAGATTTACCTGGTAACCCACGTAAGCAACATCCAGCTCACAGTGTTCAATAATATCCTAGCACTTAGCTGGATAAAGTGCTTTTTTTTAATCAGAGATGGCATAATAGATAAGGTCACTTTCAGCTTGGAGATAGTAGCAAAAATGATCACAGGTCAAGCAAGAAAAGTACAACACTTGGTTATTGAAGAAATCAGATTAAAACAATCTGCCATCAAAACAGGACTTAATGAGATACTAGAATGGCACTCTCTTAAGAAATCAGTATCTATCACATGGTGTATGTTAAGTTGCAAAGCTCTTGTTACTTACACAAATGCTTATAAAATACAATTTTTTAATTAATTTAATTTTTTTATTTTATGTGTATGAGTGTTATGCCTGCATGTGTATAAGTATACCCTTGTCATGCAGTACCCCTGGAGGATAGAAGAGAGGATTGGATTCCCTGGAACTGGAGTTACAGAAGGTTGTTAGCCACCATATGGGTGCTGGAATTTGAACCCGGGTCTTTTGTAAATAAAACTAGTGCTCTTAACCACTGAACCATCTCTCCCATTTTAAAATAACTTTTAGAAAATAGTAAATAAGGGCTAGGTCTATAGTTCAGTAGTAGAGTGCTTGCTTAGCATGCATGAGGCCTTAAATTCAATTTCCTGTGCTGGGGAAGAAGGAGAATGGGAAGGAATAAATGAGAGTATCTTGTATTGCACATGTAAAGGGCCTAAATTTCACAGGATTTCAGCTGAATCAAATTCCAGGCCTGCTGGTACAAGTTTGTAATCTCAGCTACCAAGGAGGCTGGGACAGGAGAGGCCATAGTAGATAAGGTGAGTTTCCCTTAGAGATAGTCATAAAAACAGTTGCAGGTCAAGTGAGAAGAGTGTAACACTTCTTACTGCAGAAATCAGATTAAAACAATCTGACAGCAAAGCAGAACACTAAGATACTAGAACAGTGTTCTTAAGAAATCAATATCTATCATGTGGTATGTATTAAATTGCATAACTCTTGTTACTTGAACAAATGCTTACAAAATACAAATATTGAGACTATTAGAGAATGTAGCACTTTTTATAGAAAAATAATATATATTGAAAAATAATTCATTAGAAGAAAATTAATATTTTAATACTCTTTAAAGTATAATTTAATTTTTCTTCATTATATTTCTAATTTTGTTAATCTAAAAGACAGCAGCAGCATTTTCTGGATGAAATTTTCCAATAAGTTAATGGTAATAATTGCAGATGGTTCAGTAGAAGATTCTATTACATCTAACCTAGGTCCTCTAAAATATTGATAGAACCTCCTGGGGAAGAGAATAGAAAGGTTAAATGGCTGTCTCTTTGGAAAACAGTCACCATGTATAACAAATCCTTCACACTTACATATCCCAGTTAGTGAATGGATGTATGTCAATGTAGAAAAAATGTAAGTAGAAAGTATTTTAAAGAAAGGTGATATATACATATACATATATATTCAAATATATATGCATGTATAGTTTACAAAAGGTTTTCCCATAACTTTACAAGCAATATCCTTTAAAGATGAACAAGTATCAGAAAGGAGACAAAAATATGCATCGTTGTGGTCTGAATATCATGAAAGCCTAACGAATTCTGTATGGATATTTAATATCATATCTTCACAACACCTTATACAATTGAATGTGTTACCTTTTATATGTAAAGAAATAGAAAAATATATTTAACACTAGACCATACCAACATCTATAAAGAGAAATCAGTCAGATCTGACTAATTTAAAAATCTCTGCTTAGTATGTATGTAGGGTTAATGATGGACTAATATTAATACATCAATGTGACTATTTCCCCATGATATTGAATAATAATTATAAAACTTCTATCAAACACATCAAATCCTGATTTTCTGCCTGTCATCAATGTAAATTTTCAAGGAATTACAGAAAGGCTATTTTGAAAAGTTATCTTGAAGTTTTTCAAGTTAATAAGATGCTAAGTTTGGGAGGTGAAAAATTCAGAATTTTCAAGGAGCACAAAACTGTTGATGTAATATCAGTGCATTTTGCTTCTAATTTGATAATTCTATACAGCTTCATATGTTTTATGTTATGCAAGACAATTATGTAATATGTTTTCTGAAGCAAAAGTATGTGTTACCTGATGTCTTTGGAACTTTCATTTTTTTCATTCTTACTGTTTCTGAGTCCCCAGGAAACAGGAATGTGAAAATAACTCTGACACTACTGTGATGGCTTTCATTTTTCACCTGCTCTATACCTTAGATATTTCAAATGATAAAAGAAGATAATACCCAACAAGTGAAAAGCACCAAAATACCTAGTGAAGGGGAAAGAAAGGGGACATTTATTTCCCTTCATCTAGATTAAGCATTGTCAATTACAGATTAGTATAAGCACTGTGATTAAGATTTGAGTTCCAAGACCCACTTTGCATATATTTTCATGTAATTAACTTTTCCTTTCAAACAATATGATCAATAGATGAGTAAGACAACAAGAAGAAAGAAGATGATGGTAGATAGATAGATGACAGATATATAGATAGATGATACATAGATGATAGATAGATGATAGATGATGATAGATAGATGATAGATGATAGGTAGATAGATAGATGATGATAGATAGATGATAGATGATAGATAGAAAGATGACAGATTTTGTAGTTTCATAAAACAGTTCTTTTTTTATATATAAAACAGTTCTTAATCTTCTTAATCAAATTTTAGATAGATAGATAGATAGATAGATAGATAGATAGATAGATAGATAGTAGTGGTTAAAATATGATACATTGTTTACTTCAAGAAACTATAATATTTCAAGTCTACAGCTTTCTTAACAATTCAAGATAAATATTTTCTAGAGCTAACACTGAACTAAATGTGACTTTCAGAGTTCAAGTTTGAATTTGTATGAGTTTTATTTTTTGATTAATCCATTCCCACTTGTTTGTGTAATATTTTTCTACTCAGTTTGAGGTAATAAATTATGGTTGATGATAAATTGTATGCCTTGTTTTGACATCTCAATCTCATGACCAGTTCTTTCTTTTTTCTTCCCTTCTTTCCTTCCTTCCTTCTTTCCTTTCTTTCTCTCTTTCCTTCTTTCTTTCCTTTTTCTAGAGAGTCTTTCACTATGTAACCTACACTGACTCACAGAGTTCACTGCCTCTGTCCCTGAGTGTGCTGGAATTAAAGGCAACCATCACCATGCCCAACTGAGTATTTCATATATGGTGTTTTATATAGCTGCTCTGGTAAGGTTTTACCAATATCTTTTTTTAGAGCTCTTGGCAAAAAAAACTAATATTATAAGTGATTTCACAGAGGTTCAAAGGAATAGCCATGCTTTCAGTTATGAGGAGACACTATCAGACAATGAGTATTAAAATTCAGTGGAATTCACCACCATTTTCCAAAGATTATAACATTTTTGTTATGCACTTCAATGATTGCTAGTGCTGCAATAAGACTATTTTTATGGGACAGGTTGGCAAAGCTCTTTTCCAGGAGAACTGCACATATGTGTAGGCTTTTACATTGCTATCCTGTATTCCTCCCTCTCCCAATTTTGAGAGTAATTTTCTGACAGAGCTTTCATATAGCATTCCCACCGCATGATTCATTTCTTGGAAAGTTATTCTTCACTCATTAGCTTTCACTTTGGGGAGTAATGCCTTGTTAGCTAGTCTTTCACATCCTTCTAACTGAGGATCATTCTTTTCCTTCAGGTTACATCAGAGGACACAATGAATAAAATGGAGGGAAGGAATCATTCTATGGTGTCAGAATTTATTCTTTGGGGACTTTCACAGTCACAGAGTATTCAGGTCTTACTCTTCATGATATTTCTGATGCTTTATCTGCTCATCGTGACTGGAAATATTGTCACCATGATCTTAATCACTACTGACCACCACCTCCACTCCCCCATGTACTTCTTGTTGGCCAATTTGTCCTTCGTTGATATGTGGCTTTCCTCAGTCACCACTCCCAAGATGATCACAGACTTTCTCAGGGAAAACAAGACCATTTCCTTTGCAGGCTGCATGTCCCAGATCTTCTTTGCCCATTTCATTGCTGCAGGGGAGATGGTGCTCCTGGTGGCAATGGCCTATGACCGCTATGTGGCCATCTGCAAACCACTCCACTACTTCACCATCATGAACCTGAAACGATGCACCGGACTGGTGTTAACTTCCTGGACCATTGGCTTTGTGCATGCCGTGAGTCACCTGGTGGTGATTGTGCAGCTGCCTTTCTGTGGCCCCAAGGAAATAGACAGTTTCTTCTGTGACATGCCACTGGTAATCAAGCTGGCCTGCATGGACTCCCACGATTTAGATATTTTAATGAATGCGAATTGTGGGGTTGTGGGTGTAACCTGTTTTATTCTGTTGCTCATATCCTACACTCATATTTTTCTCACTGTGCACGGAAGCTCTAAAGATGGTGCGTCTAAGGCACTGTCGACATGCACTGCCCACATCACCGTTGTGCTGCTATTTTTTGTGCCCTGCATTTTCATCTATGTGTGGCCACTCAACGTTATCTGGCTGGATAAATTTCTTGCTGTTTTTTACTCGGTTTTTACACCTCTCTTCAATCCAGCCATTTATACACTGAGAAATAAAGAAATTAAAAATGCAATGAAAAGATTAATAAGCTATTGCCTAGGCTCCAAAGGAAATCTGTGATGCACAGAAACCCGTATTAAGGATTTCAAATAGTGATACCTGCTTTTAAAAAATAAATTAAATATGAGAAAACTTAGTTTATAATTAAAATTTGTACCGGTTTCCTAATACAGGTATGGGTTTAATAAAGTTCAGAGAATATGACATTTACTGATCAATCATCAGACTATTGTGAATTATTCACCTGAAATCAAAATATGAATTATTATGCCTTACTGGAATATTATTTGATACCTTTGCCTGTATCTTTAATAAGGTAGAATTTCACATTGGATAACAACTTAGTTATCTTCACTTGAATATAATTTATTATGACATTACATACTTTCACTGCTTTTCCCAAATGGCAGCACCATCACTTTGTTTGCATTACAACTAGCAGTGCACTCTCAGAAGTGGATTTATTTGTGTTGGTTTTTTTAAACTTGAATTTTGAAATTGCCGTAATAAATGTATACAAAATCCCTCCTGATTTTTTTTCTAAGTTATCTCAGTCTTGAAGACTCAAATTTGTTCTTTAAATTATTACATAGCATTTGCTTAAAATCCAGAATAAAATCTCTCTAAAGATTGTGTTTATTACTTGACTGATTTAATTCTTTAAATTGTTGTACTTCATACAATAGATAATGTTAAGCAGCATTTAACACATACATTTGTAAGAATCTGTGCTTTGGAATCTCCCTACAAATTATTAGTCAGGGAGGACCCAGAGATCTTCTAATCAGCACAGGCTATCAACATTTTGGCTACCCCTAACTAGGCAATAAAACCCTATTTCTGCTGGGCATGGTGGCGCATGCCTTTAATCCCAGCAATCGGGAGGCAGAGGCAGGCAGATCTCTGTGAGTTCAAGGCCAGCCTGGTCTACATAATGAGTTCCAGGACAGCTGGGGCTACAGGGAGCCCCCCCAAAAAAACCTATTTCTGAAGACAATACATTTTAGTTTCAGGACATAAAGAAATAACTTTTAAATTGACAGGGTATCTTTCTCCCTGCTTGTTAGCATTTATAGTGCTATAATGTGCAATTCAGGCTGCTTTGGAAGAAAATAAACATCAGTGGTCTTACAAAGCTCTGGAATCTGCATACATTGACCTATCAGACATGATGTTCTCAGTGGTACAATAGTGGCAATATTGTGATGAGGTAACAAACAACATTCTACTTGGATTTCAGGCCTTTTCCAAAGGAGAGAATTCATGCTAGGCATTGTAAACCTATTCAAAAGCCCAGATTTCCTGAAACAAATGCCGTAAGGGGAAATCAATTATTGTCATTTTGCAAAATAGACTCGTCAAGCTAACTTCTAAATATTTGTGTTTATACCAATAGATCTGGACTACTTTCAACCTTAGTCATACATGTGTCTTTTTGCAGAGGAAGGTGGTTAATGTAAAGTTACAGAACTGGTCAAAGTGCTGAAAATAAGTGACTCTGAGTGCTCAACACTATATAGAATATCTATAGGAACCCCTCACCACCGTGTTTCAGGTAAAATCACAGAATAGAGATTAGAAAGAATATAATGGCCAGAGGATCTGGAGGAGTGCTGTGAAACATATTAGGGGCATGGCATGGCTGTTGCACTATGAACTTACCACAGCTGTGGTTATCTGAACACGCCACACTAGTTCAACTCAATCAGTATTCCAACATCAACTGGGAAGGGGATCTTGAGGTCTCACGCCTAGGAAGGAGCTACTGGAAGTAGATGGCCCCTGGGTGAGTAGTACTCAGGTGTGACCAGTAGTATATGGCCCTGTTCTGGTATGGTCCATATCCAAGGACATACAGACAGCACTAGTTGAATTGAATGGGATCTGAAATAACAAAAAAAGGACTGAAGTTGGGAGGAGGATATGCTAGAGGGGGTAAAGTCAAGTTGGAGGGATAAAATGAGGGAATATATTATCATAATACATTGTATAAATGTATGAAATTCTCAAAGAATAAGTAAAATATTTTAAGAAAGAATCTAGAAAATAAACATCAAAGAGATTATTCACCATAATTAAGACAGAGTCACAGAGATGCAGGGATGACTCATCATACATAAATTAATAAATGTAATATACAACATGAATAAACTCAAGAAGAGAAACCATATGATGATCTCATTAGATTCAGAAAAGACCTTCGGAAAAAAATCCAAGTTCCCTTCATAGTAAAATTCATGGAGAAACTATGACGACAAGAGATGTATCGGAACAGTATGGCAGTATACAACTATCCCAAACACAAAAATAGTGGTAAGTGGAGAAAAACTACAATCAGGAACAAAACAAGGATGTCCACTCTTTCCATTCTTGGTCAATTTAATGCTTGATAACTTAACTCGAGCAGTAAGGCAAGCAAGAAAGATAAAGGGTGTGCAAATCTGAAAGGAAGAAGTGAAAGTATCATTATTTGTAGATTATGTGATATTATATATCAAAGACCCTAAAGTTTCCACAAGAAAATACCAAGAGTAAATAAACACATACATAAAACTGGCAGGATACAGAATTAATGTGAAAATAGCCACTAGTCTTCATACATACCAACAACAAATATAATGAGAAAGAAACCAAGAAAAGAGCTTCATTCTTGATGGCCTCAAAATACTAAAATATCTTTGAATAAATCTAACCATGGAATTAAAAGATTTGTATAATAAAAACTTTAAACATTGAAGAAAGAAATTGAATACCTCCATTTTCCTCATTTGCCTCATTTCCTATTATCTCCCTCTCTCAGGCTCTTTCTTTCCCTTTCTCTTTGTGGTTCCCCTCCATTTTCCTGGCTCCTGGGGTTAATTCAGGATATATACTCACATATAAGGATTTGGTGTTAAGATCCACTAATGAGGGAGAACATACTTCGCTTGTGTTTCTGAGACTGTGTTTCTTAGTACAACGGGCAAAACAGTTTGGAGTTCCATTCATTTACATACAAATTTCATGATTTTGTCTTTCTTTACCACTGAGTAGAACTCCATTGTGTAAATGTACCACATTTTCATTATCCATTTGTCAGTTGGATATTTAAGTTGTTTTCATTTCCTAGTTATTAAGAAAAGAGCAGCAACAAACATGGATGTACAATTATCTTTATAGTAGGATGAGTCCTTTGTGTACATGCCAAGGAGTGGTATAACTGGATCATATGGTACATTCATTTTTGTTTTATTAAGAGTTCTCCACACTGCCTTCCATACTGGTTGCACAAGTTTGCACCATCAGGGAATGAATGTTCTTTCTCCACATCCACCCCAGTATTTGATGCATTCTCTCTTTTTGGTTGACAAAATTTTTTAATGAGCTGTTCACTTCGTAGAATACATCTTAATCAAATTTAGACCCCCTCCACTCCTCATTCCAAAACCCTCCCCCACCAGAATTCAGGTATTCTGTCATATATGTGAAACCCTATCTGGTCATACATTTATATCTAGATGGTATCCAATGTTCTCTTGACCTTAGACAATCTGAATGGGGTAAGATAAAATTATAAAGTGGTTTTGATTTACATTCTCCTAGTTACTAAGGATGTTGAGCACATCTTAAGGTATTTCCTAGTCATTCGTATTTCATTATTTATGAAATCTCTGTTCAGGTCCTTAGCCCATCTTTTTATTGAGTGGTTTGTTTTCCTGTTCTTTGTTGTGGTTTTTTTTGTTTGTTTGTTTGATTTCTTGTATTTTGTTTTGTTTTGTATTTAGTTCTTTGTATATTGTGGATACTTAAACCTCTGTTGGACATGTAGTTGGTGAAAATTTTCTCCTACTCAGTGGGTTTTCTCTTCAGAGTTTCAGGTTTCATATTGAGGTCATTTATCCATTTGGAGTTGACTTTTGTCAAGAAAAAGGTCTAGTTTTATTCTTCTTTGGTTAGACATCTAGTTGTGCTAGCACCATTTGTGAAAGATGCAGTCTTTCCTCTATTGTGTGTTCTTGGTACCTTGTCAAATATCAGATGAGCGAAATTCCGTGCACTCATGTTTTAATCTACTATTCTGCTTCACTCAACAAAGTGTTTTTGTTCCAGTATCAAACTGATTTCATGACTACATCTCTGTAATATAATTTAAGACCTGGTCTGCTGATCCCCTGGCACTGCTCCTTTTGCTTTGGCTCTCAGAGGCCTTTTGTGATTCCATATGAATTTTAGATTTTTTTCTAGTTCTTTGAAGAATATCATAGGGATTTTGATTAGCATTTCATTGAATCTATAAATTGCTTTTTATTTGATGGTCATTTTCACAATATCAGTTCTACCAATTCTTGAGCACAGGAGGTCTTTCCATTTCCTTGTGTCTTCCACAATATATAGGTATCCAAATAATAAGAGAGGAGGAAAGACTGTACAAGGAACCATGGGCCTGAGGAGGAAGAAGGAGTTCAAGAGAAGGAGGATAATAGGAGATAGGTATTGTCATGGGGATGATAGGGAAAATGTGGAACTTTAACTGGGGAGGAAGGAGCTTATGTAAGGAAAGAGAGACAAGAGATAAATAAAACAGTGTGAAAAATCAGAGGAAAATATATTAGCTTTAAAAACTACTGAAAAATACACATGCAATATCTGAATATGAGTGCATGTATATACTTATAGGCTATATAAGAGCAAACAGTGCCAGATGTGAGAAATCTCCCTGCTAGTTATTGATCAGGGTAGTCCAAGAGACTTATAATGACAAGGCTATTGTCACAGTTCTTGATTGCCTACCAGAACTTGAAGGTGAGACCCTGTTCCTTAAGACAAGACATGCTTTGAAAACAGGACTTAGAGCAGTGGAGCTGGAACTGACCTGGAATCCTCCTCCCTGGAAATGAGCTCTCATAGTTCTAGAGAAGAATGTAAAAGCCACTAAGGGAAATAATCAATCAGTGGTCTGACACCGCTTTGAGAACTAACAACCCATAACAATGACACACACAAAGAACTGTAGCAGTGTCGTAGTGGTACTTTTAGCTAGAGGGTAATCAACAGCTATTTAATTGGATTTAAAGGCCTCT